AGAATGCTACAATGTTGGGGTGCATTTTGTGACATTCTTGTTTCTACGAAAAATACTTTCTTATGAACGCTCCCACATCCCTTTTCCATTATGTCACGTCAGCCAGTTTGTATTACATGTTGAAATTCACGCTAAAATGTATGCGATGGAGATGGAACTCTATTTATGAAAGCGGAATGCTCGCGTCTCTCGGTGCTACTGTAAGTCATGCTCACTCTACTTGATCACTTTTTTATATGAGCGGAACTCTTGGTTTTCTTGGATATTTTGTGACAGCAGCATTCGAGTAAAGTAGAATGATTGCCATACAAGTAGGTACATACCAGGGCTGGGTATATATACTCCAAAAGGTTTTCGAGAATGCAAATCCTGAGATACATTTGTCTTTTCTGCAAAGGGATATCCGTGAGATACTTCAGCGAAACCGGCGAAGTAGTATTGAGGAATACAAATACAGTTACTTATAGAAGTACATTTGTTCTCGAACGGCGCTTGGGGGAGAGGGTGTAGTTTGTGGCGAATATGAACGGTGGTTTATGCTTGTGCTTCTTTTTTGTGACATTTTATGATGTTAACCTTGCCTCGAACTCTTCATTTATCATTAATGCCGCTAAAAAAAAAAAGGTGCTTCCCCGTTGAAGAACATAGTTACAGGCTGCGTACCATTCTTGACGAAAGACGTCTGCCTGTAATTAACCCTGTTTTGCCGTGAGGGCGCATCTCAAAATGTCGTACTATAAGCTACTGAGTCACCCATAATGTAGGGACATTGCACAATGGGGGCATGTAATATAGATTGTTAAACTTCACAATAAGTGGATTAATTAACTAAGATTTCTTAAATAAGTTCTTAAATATTGAAAATAAACTGAATGTTCTAATCGTTTGTGTTTCCTAAGTGTCATCATACAATTGAAAACAAATTAACTACGAGCCACGTTTGTAAGCCCTGAAGTGCACTAAAGTTTCCACTCGTACAAAAGGCGCAACGCCGGCGGTTCGTAAACGCGGATGATAATCTCTTCGTTTGCGTTTTCAGCAGCCGGCGTTGCTTCTGCCGCCCAAGTGGAACCATTAGCACGCTTCAGCGCTTTTCACGTTATTCAAATCCATTACAAATTGTCTAATTTAGTGTTTTATATGACGCTCAACAAGTTCATAATTGGTATCGCATGTTTTGTATCGCAAATCAAAAGGTTAATTCAAAAGTTAAGTTAAATATTTGAATTACTGTGACAATTTGACACTTATATATGTCCCTCTATCCGTATAACAATCAGCGGCACAAATCGCATTTATCTACAATTCACGGCTTTTCTTAAATAAATATGTTCAAGTTAAAAATCATACACCCTGCATACCTAAGTTAACGAATCCTCACAAAGATCTTCCTAATGTGGAGATTGGTAATTTTTAGTGCCCTTTCAATTTGGAAATCAATTAACAAACCTTTACCAATATTATAACTATACTTTATTCGTTAAGAGTATTGACCACCATAAAGTTGAAATGGCCTAAAGTACTGTCCACTAGCACACCTTTTTCCCGTCAGTGCGTAATGTGCTAAGGATAATAATTAGCCGTTAATATAATAACTATATCCCTAGACGGTCAACCGCTAGTACCCGTTTAAGCTATGACAAGGTGTTCTTTTGTAGCCGCAAAGCTATGTTGTTTCTTTTTTATGGCACGTTTCACTTAGTCATGTCGTCATTTCTGCGTAGTTCTTTCCACGCTCCGACTCCGTTTTTCGGGTGGGGAGGTTCTGGCTTACGCACGAAGAAAAATTTATTTTGTAACTTATATTTTAAGGAGTGGCATAACTAAATTGCTACAAGTTTATTTGTAAAACATCTATATTTTCGATGCTTCTTGTTGTTATGCATAAAGGGGCGGGGGGGGGGGGGCGTGATGTTGCAAGTTATTCTGCCTGCGAAAAAAAAATCAAATCAAATCAAAAACAGAAGTAAAAGGAAAATGGCGTAAAAACAACGTATAAAAGTCCAGAAAACAATTGAGGCAAATTATGTCAAGGACTGCAAAACTTTAAGAATAATTAAGAAAAAAAACAACAAATACTAACTCAAAATTATAAAGTCCTGCGTTGACATTATTTAGTTCAACCTATATTAACTATTCAGTAAAGATGTACAAAAAAAAACAGCAGACAATTGTCAAAAAGTCAAGATTTATCTATTTTCTGTAAAGTCACGAAACGCTATGCAAAGAAACCTTACAATAAATGTAGCGTCATTAAGGTCACGGGGCACTATTCAGTCAAAACTAAATAGTCATCTTTTGAAAGAACATGTGCAATTAATAAAAATTTCAAAGTTATGAACATACAAATTACTGCCAAAGGCCCGACCGAAGTTTTTATTATACAAAAAAGTGATTCTTTTATTGTGTTTCCTTCACAGCAATTCAGGACTGTGGGATTGAATTTCTATCATCTAGCCAATATTGGCTGACCACTCGGCCACTAACCTGGCCCATGCTGTATATACAATAGAGAGCCAAGCTTGGGGTACCACTGAGCTTCCCACCTCGCCCAGGCCATAATTCCAGCGATGAGCCAGTCCACGGCTATACAGGGAACTGCCGGTGGTCGCCAGACTAGCATACCAGTATGAAGCTGCCTAGCGCCATGGGGCAAAACGGTCTAGGCCCAGTGAAACTTCGCCGGCTGTCTGACTCAAGCTTGAGCCGGTCATAATGTGCTGCTTGGGTAATAGCCACTGCGCTCGTCGCAGCTTCTTCAAGTAGTAGAGTAGACAGTTGGGCGAGTTAGTAGCTATTGACCATACAGTTCCGCACTGAGGGACAATGACACAGGGACAATGTCATCTACGTGTTCCTCTTCTCTGTCCTTGTACCTGTGTGCGCAACTGTAACTATTGTCTTCAAGTTGGTGGCGTTGAGAAAGGCACTCAACATTGGGAGACGCTTCGTTGCCATTTAGAGTCCTGTTCTCTGCTTCTCAATGTTCGCTTACAAATAGTGCTCGCGAGAGCGATAAGTGCCGGACTGGCGACAAAAAGAAAAGAAACAACCAAAAGAACTTCGACGTATTGCCGTAGCGGGGTCAGATATACAAGCAAAAAAATGAAAGCCGTTTACAACTCCCTGTAACGCTGGATTAGAGCGCAGCTTATGAGGAGGAGGAGGGGAAGGGTACTGAGGGGAAGGTGTAACCTTCCTCCCTCCTCCTTACCCTGTCTGCTACTCCTCCCTCCGAGCGGCGTCGCCGTCGTCTAACGAGGGTAACGTGACCTCACGGAGGTCACGTGACGATGATGATGACGTCATCAGCGACGTCACCACTGGCGTCACTGAGGACGTCATCATCACTAGTGACGTCATCAGTGGCGATGACGATGCGGATCCCGATGACGTCATCAGTGACATCACTGATGACGTCATCAGGGACGATGATAATGCTGATGTCGATGACGTCGTCAGTGACGTCATTGATGACGTCATCAGGGATGATGCCGACCACGATGCGGGTGCCGATGACGTCATCAGTGACGTCACTGATGTCGTCATCAGTGACGATGACGATGCTGATGACGTCATCAGTGACGATGACGATGCCAATGACGTCACTGATGACGTTGCTGACGACGCCATAAGTGACGTCACGCGTCCCATAATGCACCGCGCGGTTACACCGACGGCGACGCCGACGTCCACGGCGACGCTGGCGCCGTCGCCGCTCAAGCCGGAAACAGGCGCCTAAGAGGTGCGCTCTAAGAAGAGTGTCTTCTTATTGTGTCCACTTTTAATTTTTTTCTATTTGTTATTTTCTTCACACTGAAGTCTGCATTGCTGTCGTGGGTCGTTTCCCGTTCTGCGTTGCGCCTCACTTTGGCAATCTTTACTTCCGTAAAACCACCACTTTTGTCTGAGGACTTCTTGGGGAAACTACCAGAAAGGCGCCTTTGGGAAGGCGAGGGGGAAAACCTTCATTGTACGAACTTAGGTGTGAAATATGAGTCACAACCAGCATAAAAGCGATGTTTTCATGAACTGCATCTAAGTCATCGTAGCTTATCGGAGCTAGCAACAGAATTTGGTTGCTCGAAAGAATGTCAAGCGCCGTTCAAACTCTTGCAACCGAGTAAGACTGAGAGTGACCAGATGGGTTTTTAAGCCTTTTGTGACTTCTTAGGACCGGATGCGATGCAGTGGAGCTGGTCCTAAGAGATCGCAAGAGGCTTAAAAACCGTTCTGGTCTCTCTCGGTCTTACTCGGTCGCAAGAGTGTGAACGGGCCTTCATAGTTTGCTCGTGCCACGCCCCACTTCACACCAAAAGAAAATCGAAAAATGGCGGAATGCCAAAATGTATTTGAGATAATGAGTACAAGATCCTCAGAAATATAATTAAAATATAGTAGCAAATACTCTCGATTAAAAGTATTTGCAAGATACCAAGATTGTTCAAAAAGGTATTTGAAATACAGTATCTTGAGTAGAGTATTTGAGATAGGCATAAGTCTGAAGAAGTTACCTACTGGATGAGCCTAGTCATCCTTTTAACGCCACACAATATGTATATACGTTTTCTTTTTATGGATGTGTTGTTTCACTAACGATGTGTTTTGAAGTCTTTCTCCTCGCTCTGACGTTCGGGAGCTCTGCTTTTTTAGCAATACTTCATCGTCGCGTGTTTTTGTTTATATATTTTTTTATCGTTAGGTGATAATTTTAGTTACCCGCACCTTAGCGCGGTTGTCCAGGGCATAATCCTCAGCTAGAATGTTGTGTTCTTCCTTTCACCACCCCCTCCTTATTGGCTAATATGTAGCGACGTTACATAAGGTATTACATTATGTCCTATGTTCCAGTACGCTACAATTTAAAATCCATACTCAGAGCAACCTCTGTAGTCATCATTCCAGTAATTTGACAAGCTCTGAGGATATAAAAGTCTAATGATGACTTAGATGCTAATTTCTCCCGTAACATCAATGCACGCCTTGGTTATATTACTGCTCTAGGGGCTCAAAATCAACGCAATCTTTTCAGATATTTCTTCCGGCTTTGAGGTAGACAGCGTGGGATTGATGTTCACAACCTGATTTTGTACAACTTCTGATGGTGACTGACAAACCCTAAAGGAATTGGTGAGCCCGGGTGGGATCGCGTTAACCCGTATTCCCTTGGTCGACAGCTCCAAAGTCAGAGACTTGGTGAAGGCCAGAACTGCGCCCTTTGAAGCCGCGTAAGCGGAAACTCCATCCCTGCCGTTGATGCTCGCGATGTTCACAATGGCGCCCTTGCTCCCGTTTTGAGCCACCATGGACTTGACCGCTCCCCGTGTAATGAGGAACGTGGACTGCAATTGCATTCGTATACTTAGAAGCCTGGACATAGTCAAAGTGTTTCTCGCCAGGTGTATATATGCGCAGAAAAAAATGCGCCATGCACTGCCTGACTCGTGAAAGACTTAAAAATGCATAAACGAACTCACTCCAGCGAAAAACATGACTAAACTCTACATAATATTTTCATAAACTGCAATAAACTTAGCATTCAGCGCAATATAAACCACACTACGTATAAAATGGTAGACATAGATGGTACACAAACAAACCACGCGAAAGTGGCGTCGACCACAAAATTTGGCAGACGCGGGCCGCCATGTTTAGCGTACTTACGTCCGGCGCAAATAACGAACCTAACGTAACGTGAACGTGGCCACGTCACGTGACCATGGAGTAACGTAGTCTACCTTGAACAGGCTGTCACAGATAACCAAAACGAGTTTCAAGTTCTTAGAGCACAGCTCTTAGGCGCACGTTTCCGGCTTGAGCGGAGTCGCCGTCGGCGCAACCACGGAGATGTTTCGGCTTCGTGCCGAAACGTTCGCGCGGGGTCACGCGACCCCGCTCAAGGGGGTTGGGGCGGGGGTCACGTGACCCCGCTCAAGGGGGTCGGGGGGGGGTCACGTGACACTCCTCGGGAGGGGTCAGGGGCCCACATGACACCCCCCGGGGGGGGGGGGGGGGGGTCAGGGGGCCACGTGAAACCCCTCGGGGGGGGGGGTCAGGAAGCCACGTAACACCCCTCGGGGGGAGGGGGTTAGGGGGGACACGCGAAACCCCTCGAAGGGGAGAGGGGGAGAACGTGACCCCCCTGAGGTCACCTGACTCCCGTCGGAGTAACCGTGAGGTTACTCCAAGCGGCGTCGGAGTAACCTCACGGTTAGTCCGACGCCATTTGGAGGGAGAATCAGCATCATGAGGAGGTGAGGCGGGGGAAGGAGGGGTATACCCTCCCCTCAGTGCCATTCCCTCCTCCTCCTTAAGAGCTGCGCTCTAATTCGGCGTTATAGGGAGTTGTAAACGGTTTTCATTTTTTCGTTTTTTTAATCAATTAGGTTTTCAACTGTTGCCTTTCTTAAGATTTAAATGCAGTTTGATGCATGTCTCTGGCCATTTATATTTCTCGCTAAATTTAGTGAGGAAAATAACGTCACATGACTTGAATCAGTTCCACGCAAAATTTAGCGGAGGAATTGACGTCATGTAACCTCAACACTGATAGGGTGTTCTCGCTAAATTGAGCGAGGAAAATGACGTCACATGACTTCATGTCACCTGACCTATTCACAAATTTAATTTCACCGCAAAATCTAGCGAAAATTAGGCCCGATGATGTCGCGCTGCCTATACTGAAATCCAGTTTCTACACCAACTTCAGCGAGAAAATTGAATTCACATGATTTCAACACCAATTCAAATTTCCCACCTAATTCAGCGGGAAAATTTACGTTGCATGACTTGATGTCACGTGTCCCCAACACCAGTTCAGTTTCCCCGGATAATTAGAGGTCAAAATGATGTCACAAGGCCGTATGTCATGTGACCTGCACAGAAATTCGGTTTTCCCACCACATTTACCAGGAAAATTGAAAAATGACCTGTCGCGGCTCTTTCAGTTATGCCTGCATCTAATCGCTAAATTAAACAGAAACATTGTGGGTTCCGTCTGCCCGAATTATTCGCTATTACTTTTTTACAGGTATATGAATCCTACAGGATTCATATACTTTTTCTTTTAAAATCAGGTTTCCGTTTCAAATGGCCCACCTGACTGATACTTCGCACTCCTATGGAATCGGATGTCTGTTCCAAGGTGTATTTAGGATCACGGTCACTCAAAAGCAGCTGCAGTGGACGAAATTATTATTTTTTCTGTGACTCACTCTTAGGTTGGTAGCGATTACGTCGTCAAATGTGGCGTCGCTGATCAAGCTCAGGGGTGTGGACTTCTGCCGGATCTCCGCGCTGTTGACCACCAAACTGAGCTTCTTTCCGGGGAAAGCAGTTTTGATTTCGATTTCTTTGAAGAGAGGTTTTACGTCGGCGGAGTTTCGAAGATCAGTGGACATTCCCATGTGACCACAGTCCTGGATTGCTATGAAGGAAAACACAATATAAGAGTTACTTTTTTGTATAATAAAAACTGCTGGAGCATTTGGTAGTAAGTTTTATGTTCATAACTTGAAAATTCTGTTAATTTCACGTTATTTCAATATATAACTATTTAGTCTTGACTGAATAGTGCCCCATGACCTTAATGGCGCTACATTCATAATAAAGTTCCTTTGCATAACGTTTCGTGAATTTACACAAAAGAGATTGACAATTGCCTGCTGTTTTTTTTTCTCTACAAATTCACTGACTAGTTAATATAGAGTGAACTAAATAATGTCAACGCAGGACTTTATATTTTTGAGTTTGAATTCGTTATTTCCTTAAATATTCTTAAAGTTTTGGTGTCCTTGACCGATAGAGAGGCAGTGATTTGTGTGCCTGAATTTGCCTCATTGTTTTCTAGACTTTACCTTGTTTTTATGCCATTTTAATTTTACTTTTGTTTTTGATTTGACCAGATTTTTTTCCCCAGGAAGAATAACTTGCAACATCTCTGTCTACACGTGTACCAGTTATAAAATATCCATGTAAGACGTACTTTTGTTATTATTAGCATATCAAAACAAATATTAAAAAATACATACTAAAATAATATCAATTCATATATGCAGCAATATTCTACTGGGCGAAAAACAAACAAGACATTGCCTGTCAATGAAACACCAGCCCCCCCCCCCCCCCCCCTCGAGTATCTCTATCTCTGTATCGAAATACATTCAATGAATGTATTTGTATCTCAGTAGTGAACTACATTTAAGATGTATCGCGATACGTTTCCAGACTTAGGTATCTCGTTACATTCGTTGTCCTTTCTCAGATAGATTTAAAAGATAAAAACATCTCTTTGTTGCAAGATGCTTCATTGTTTATAATATCAATCCCCAATAACATAATTCATTTCAGTCGCCGATATTAAAGAAAATGTGGTTTAATTAATCTTAAGGGCAAGAATAACAAAATCAGCTCCTTTCACAAAACCCTGCACTCCTACCAATTTAGCAGAGATCGCTGTAAAGGAGTGAATTGAAGAAATATTACAGCCCTATTGTGCAATGTCCCTACATTATGGGTGACTCAGTAGCTTATAGTACGACATATTGAGATGCGCCCTCACGGCAAAACAGGGTTCATTACAGGCAGACGTCTTTCGTCAAGAATGGTACGCAGCCTGTAACTATGATCTTCAACGGGGATGACATCTTTTTTTTAGCGGCATTAATGATAAATAAAGAGTTCGAGGCAAGGTTAACAGCATCAAATGTCACAAAAAAGAAACACAAACATAAATTACCGTTCATATTCGCCACGAACTACACTTTCTCCCCCAAGCGCCGTTCGAGAACAAATGTACTTCTATAAGTAACTGGATTTGTATTACTCAATACTACTTTGCCGGTTTCGCAGAAGTATCTCACGGATATCCATTTACAGAAAAGACAAATGTATCTCAGGTTTTGTATTGCCAAATACCTTTTGGAGTATATCTGCCCAGCCCTGGTATGTACCTACTTGTATGGCAATCATTCTACTTTACTCGAATACTGCTGTCACAAAATGTCCAAGAAAACCAAGAGTTCTGCTCATAAAAAAGTGATCAAGTACAGTGAGCATGAGTTACAGTACCACCTAGAGACGCGAACATTCCGCTTTCATAAATAGAGTTCGATATCCATCGCATACCTTTTAGCGTGAATTTCAACAGGTAATACAAACTGGCTGACGTGACATGATGGAAAAGGGATGTGGGAGCGTTCATAAGAAAGTATTTTTCGTAGAAACAAGAATGTCACAAAATGCACGCCAACATTGTAGCATTCTTATGGTTTCTTCACCACCTGTCACAATTCTGTCGGCGATGAAGACGGTAACTCCTTCACGAGCCAGCACTTTGGTGACGCTATGGCCAATTTCGCTTGCCTTACCGGGGACAAGTGCTAGCCGACCCCCGAGTTATATGAGAGGAGAAGTTTCATTGCCATCTGTGGTGCTACTGTCTTTACGTACAGCTTCGCAGGTGGCCAGCTTCCACGAAAGGCTACAGCAAAGCACAAACCGGAAATGTATTCTGGAAATGATAGACATATTTACCAATTTCTAATTACTCTGTACAAAAGTAGAATAGACGTGAGAACTGTCTGCTCTGAAGAACGTCGCGAACAGCCAGGTTTTATACACTGGCCACAAGATCGATGAAAAAATATTATCTAATTCCAGGACGCGTTGAGATGGTAGGGTCACAAAAATAAAGAAATCGATGTTAACGCTACAATACTTTCGGTCACTACCATCGCTGATATCGGGGACAATTCTTGACTGCACAAAGGTGTACGCTTTAAATTATCATACGCATCCCTCTATTAAAGCCAAGTTGTGCCAGGTTCCTGACATAAAGTGAATAGCCCCCCTTCCCCCAGTAGAAAAAATAATTAAACTCGTGACCTCATTTTCCGTTGAAGCATCATTAGTGCACTACCTACGGCGGCCGCCTCTCGTAGTTAAGACAAGGCTGAAATCGCCTTACAGTGGTCTTTGTCCAGTCGTGCGACTCGTGCAAGCTACTTTTATCTGACGGTGCGGGACGTGAGGGGCCGCTGGCTCTCCGGGAGGAAACCGCGAAAAGCATGAGCAGCAAGGTCAAGTAGAAAAGATGCCCAGATCGAGTGTCGTCCGTGATGCTCTGTTTTAATGTTATTACCTCTAGCCTTCAAAAACCTTATTGACTTCGCGATCACTGTAATACCGCTAACATTTCTGTCAAAAAGAAAAAAAAAAGAAAAGAAATATAAATTAGTCTTCGAGAATGCTGCTACACGGGGAAATCAATGAGCACATAAGAAATGGCGATATTGAGTTAAAGCTGCATCGGAGCAATTTTGACAAATGTACTATGGCACTTAGTCTGGTCTCTATAGCGTGCACCAGTTAGCTGTGATCAAAACACAGCATAACCGTGCGTCGTACGTTTGAATCTAAGGTAGGGGCTGAATCCAGGAGGTGCTCGGGCGAGATTCACATAACAGATTTTGGGAGCAGGAAGTGCTTTTTGACTGTATCCCCCCCCCCCCCCCCCCCCCCGCCCTCCCTCCGAAAAATTGTTCTGTCCATTTGTCTCTTTCCGTCTGTGCATTTCCTGCTAAATTTATCGGGAAAATTGATTTCACGTTATCCATACACGAATTCAATTTTCCCGCTAAATTCGAGGGGCAATATAATGTCGCGTGACGTGAAATCACAAGACCTGCTGACCAATTCACTTTCCCCGGTAAAATTAGCGCAAAAATTGTCGTCAATTGAACTATACACCAGTTCAGTTACCCGATAGGTTTGGCGGGAAAATCGATGTATCATGACCTACATATCCCAATTAAGTTTCCCCGCTATCTTTGGCGGCAAAATGCACGCCATGTAACCTCCACACTAACTCAGTTTGTCCGCTAAATTGGGTGGAAAGATTGATGCCAAGAGCCCTATAAACCGATTCTGTTTCTCCGCTAAATTTGGCGGAGACATTGATGTCACGTAACCTGAAGTCACGTAAAGTATCGATCGATATAGTTTCTCTACTATATTTAGCGCTAAAATTGAAAATGCAAATTCCTACAGTGTATTTCATGCTGATAGGATTTTTAAGGTAAAAATCGTTGCTAATTTTTTGTTATTATTAATTTTTTTATTTCAAAATCTTGTCGACCTTTTTTATAGTCATTGTAGGAAAGAGTTCTTTTTATTATTTAATCTCATGGATTAAGAAATTGACCGGTATCCTTGAACAAGAAAGTAGAGAACCTCAGTTTGATGAAAAATATCTTCTCCAATAGCACTAACCCCCGCTGCTTGAAAAAGAAGCCAGAAAATAAGAAATTTCTAGTTAAAAAAAGTTTTAATATTTTTACGCCGTGTTGCCAAGAAAATTCAAGAATCGGGCATACACGCGCTCCAAAATAAAAAGTATAAATAAGTAATAAATGATAAATAACCAAAATATAAATAAGTAAACCTTAAGTAAGTTATATTGCGATATCTTTGTGTTAAAAACTGGTAAACTATTTTATGTCACAGATGACTTGCATCCAGAAATCCGTACACTGCGAACTTAAAACTACATTATGAAGCTCTCATACGCCAACGTGCGAAAGCATTAGAACAAGTAAATCATGATATATTTTGAAAGCAGCCACTACAAACTGGATAACTTTCTAATTTAATTATGAAGCAAAAAAAAAAGAACAAAAGAACGTAAAGACAGTAGATAATATTTTTAAATATTGTTCTCAAAATAAAATTATTGTAAAACCCTTCGGCACTTTAAGCCAAAATATGGCTGAAATAATTTCATAATTTTTTTCCAGTCATTTACGTTTTACTATTCACACTTTGCCGATTCTTGTGTAATCTTAAAGTTTCTTTGACG